GCCAGACCTTGGCTCCTGTTGCTCTGTGCCAGTGGTTCTCAATCTTCTGGCCCTTTAAATACAGTTTCTCATGTTGTGACCCAACCATAAAATCATTTTTGTTGCTACTTCATAACTGTAATGTTGCTACTGTTATGAATCGCAATGTAAATATCTGATATTCAGGATGGTCTTAGGCGACCCCTGTGAAAGGGGTCGCGACCCACAGGTTGAGAACCGCTGCTCTGAGCCCATTTTCCTCACCGAAGGGTTGGCACTAGAATTAAAAGTTTAGACTCTTTCTTCGTCCTGCCTGTGATAGGAATCTCCCTTCTAGGCTTCTCCCCGCCCCTACAGGGGAGTCTCCAGGCGAGAAAGGGTTGGGCTGACTCATCGGAGACATGGACCCTGCCTCCCCCTCTCCTAACTGGAGCTCTGCAAGTCTTCCCCGAGAGTGCCCTTGTGGACATCTTGCCAGAATTTGAGATGCTGATGATCATGGCACTGGGAGTGACTGAGGTGACAGGCCTTGCAAAAGGCTCTGGTCATTCTGAGATTGTGGTCTGTCACACACAGTCCTTCCCCTGCCCGTTGCAGATAGCCATCAACTTTCTAGCAAACGGGTGACCAGGCTGCCCAGGCGTCATGTGAAGCTGGATGGCTCAATCTAAAAAGAGCTAGAAAAGAGGAAAGAAATGAATCCCAGAGATACAGTTTGTAACTATGTGTGAACTTCAGGCATGCAAATCCCCAGCTATCAGAAAGGGACAGAAGAAGGCACACACAAGGAAGCTTGGTTGGACAGAGCACTATTTTTAGCAAAATGAAATAAAATAAAAATAGAAAAGGTCCTTAAAAACATATGTTAACTTAAAATTAAGAAAGGCTTTTCAAAGTGAGGGGCAGCAAGGGGTTATTTGACATCGATAGGAATAGCTGTTTGGGAATCATTAATTCATGCAGAAGCCCAAATAGTGTACTGATTAGGAGACAGAGGCGATAGGCATTTATGAGAAAGGGAAGGGGACCGATTACATCAATGGAAGGAAGGCATTTCTTTTTTTTAATATATTTTATTGATTTTTTACAGAGAGGAAGGGAGAGGGATAGAGAGTCAGAAATATCGATGAGAGAGAAACATCAATCAGCTGCCTCTTGCACACTCCCGACTGGGGATGTGCCCGCAACCAAGGTACATGCCCTTGACCGGAATCAAACCTGGGACCCTTCAGTCCACAGGCCGACGCTCTATCCATTGAGCTAAACCGGTCAGGGCAGGGAAGGCATTTCTGTTGGTGCAGATGAGCTAACATAGTGATGCTGATTCTGAACAATGCTTTTAGTTTTCAGCCCAGTAGTCCTCAGTGCAGTAGTGATAGGAACCTAGAAGCGGGAACAATTAAATAAATCCTAGGGACTCAGAAGAGAGGAGGTGACTTTTAAACTACACAGAAGGGAGCGGGGAAGGCATCTTTCTTCAAATTGAACCATATGAAATTGCCAACATGCAACCCTATTGACCATAAAAGCAAAAGGTCGATTTCCGATGGTTTATCTTAACAATAAGAGCAGGACCAGCATGCAGATTGCATCCCTTTCACCGAATCTGATGGAATGGTGGTAACTGCCCAGAAGCTGTGTTGAGAATGATTCTGAGGATTCTAGGGCAATAGGAAAGAATAATATTGGAATTGTTCAGTGGTCTGTCCTGGCTAAGGAATGGGTCTAAATTAAACATACTTGCCATACTTAAATGATAAGAAGTTTTAGAAACAAAATCACAGAAGTCTTAGGGTGTCCTCCTGGGTGTAGGCAGACCCCGGTAGTCAGAGGTGGGTGGGCTATACTGGGGATGACGGGGGTGTGGGTGGAAGACTCACTTCTGGAGACTCCTTAGATGGCTGTATCACAACGTGCTTTGGATGACCTTGTAAACACCCCCGATACTACTGCTTGTACCCCACTATCTGTTCCACTTGCTTAAACATACACCACCCCCCGCCCCCACCCCAGAGAAGTGCACGGAGGTTACAGTGTATCCCTCCACTGCTTTGCTTTTGCTTAATTCAAAGCTTTCTTTTAAGAAAAGGTCACAGTGTACTGAGAGAACACACAATAAGTACTTTGCAAATTAAATTGCAGGATGTTTTTAGGTAACATCACAACCAAGTCCTGTGACGGTGGACATTTCGTTTTACAAAGGTCAAAATCACTGCATAAAGGATTTTTTTAACTACTTAGAGGGCATCCAAAGAAGCTATTTCAGAGCAGTTTCTCAGGACACACAGCATAAGAAAGCGAGGAAAGCGTCATTACGCCCTGCCAGGATTCAGCCTTCTAGAGGGAATCTGTGTCGTGTCTCATTGGCACCCCTACATTGCACTGGGGTTATTGAAAATCAGTCCATGATTTTAACTGTGAAATACTAAAATGCCCTTCTGCATATATGTTTGCTACAATTACATTATTTTCCTTTTGAAACCTATATACCCCAAGACATTTCAGATCTCATTTTAATAGTGGTTCTTTTAATATATAT